ATAAAGGACATAATAATACATCGGGTTCGAGTCCCACCAGAGGCATTTTATTACACAAATTTCTTTATTCATTTATTTACAGGACTACATTCGTTGAGAGCTATGCTACACGATGCATTATTATGTCCTTTATTCGAATCTTTGATGATTTATATATAATTTAACAGTGTTAACGGCTATCTTGATTTATATATATATATATACATATATATATATATACATATATATATACATATATATATATATACATATATACATATATATATATACATATATACATATATACATAAAGTATATATATATACAAAAGTATATATATATATATGTATATATATATATACATACATACATATATATTTATATACAAATAAAACATGTAACACTGGGTTAAAGACTCAACATTTTATTGCACTACAGGCTGTTTCATGAGGGGTGCCTCAATCATCAGGTGCTAGGCTCTGAGTTAAGGAATAATGAAGTACATAGATTGTTTATCAAATGTAAAAAGCAATAAAAACTTTCAATTTAAAATCCGTTTGTTAAATATATTACAAATTTAAGTTACTGCAAATAAAAGATTCGATCTTAATATACAAAAAACAAAACAAAAACAACCTAAGAACAAGTATAAAAAAGGCAATACAAATAATGAAACAGCAGGAATAACAAAATGATAGCCTCAGTGTGGTACTTATTTCCAATGGGGTCCTCAACAGGGAAACTAACAACTGAAAGGAATAAGAGGACAAAACAAGCCAGCAGGTTATAATCAAAGAACAAAAGAAAAATCAATTTACAAAAAAAAAAAGATTAAACTGCTTGATACGGGACTGATATGTTTGTTTGTCTTGACATGGTGTAGACACGGAAGCTTACTTAAAGTCCATATTAATAGTAAGAAAATGATATTGAATCTGATGGACAATTGGGCATACAAACAAAATTGATTGGTGATACAATTGGTCCAGCCATAACGACCAGCCGGACTGCTCCGTACGGACTTGATATTGTGGCAAAGAACGTGTTAAATCCATTTTTAGCTAAATACACTATTTTGAACGCCAATGCACTGCATACATTGCCGTATATATCCAAAAGTACCAAAATGTTTGTTAAATCTACGGCAGTCGTGTATTTATACACTACTTAAGGCTTAGCATTCTGTAGCATAATTTCATTTATCACAACACGCTGGTCTTTAATCGAAGGGAACAGGTAAAGTTAAAAGGTAGTCATTCAATCGGGACTGAACAAATTTGGTCTTCAATTTTCTCGTACAGGTGTCTACTGTAGGCTAATTCTCGATTTTGTTTTGGGTAGAGTAGGCCTGGGTGTGGGACATACAAAGGGAGGGGGTGAAGGGATGTTTGGAAAATTTAGGAACTCTACACTAAGGTCTGACCACGTAAATTGTAACGATTTTCATTTTTTTTTTATATTCTGCCAGTGCTTAAACATCATTCGCATACACATTTGTCGGGTTCATTTTATAAATGGCATTAAAATTCATCATTAGCACATAATGTCTAACTAATGTGGAAGAACTGAAAAAATGCTCATGACAGAAAAAAAACTATATTCCATATCACAACCTTCAATACAATGCCGTAAGCAAAATATGACCACTGCGCATGTCGAATTTCAGTAGTATTGTCTATCCAATCATTGCACAATAATATTCACTTGCTTTTTCGTATTGGATATAAGCATTGATCTACATACAATAAAGCTAGCCTATTTGGAATTATAGACTCATTATTTATTGAATCTGTTACGATTAATGTTATAATACCAGCGAATAAAAGTATATTTACAAGCAAAACGACAGTGGTTGACAGTTTTCACCAAATTGACTTTTTCTACCGATTTTATACCTCCAAGAATTTTCATGGAGGCAACAATTGATTTGGTAATACAACAAAACGTTTCTGTAGAATTATTTATTTTTATGATTTGTACATTTTTACCTGTCATGCTGGTGACGATAATTGGAAACTTGATTGTTATACTCAGTGTGTACCGGAATCGTTCTTTAGTAAAAACTCCGAGTTGTATCTTCATAACATCCTTAGCACTCTTTGATTTCTTAACTGGCTTGATTGGCGTTCCTCTCCTTATGGTTGGTTATATTCTTCGTAGACAGTTCATTTATATAGAAAGCTGTGGCATTTGGTATTTTGTGCCCGTTAACATATTTGTCGCAATCTCAATGCTGCATCTAACTGTGATCACTATTGATCGATTCCTTTCAATTAAATACCCTATTAAACATATTGTGTGGATGCCGGTTGAAAGAGCAATTCGAATTTGTATTTATGTCAGTTTGCTTGGCTTTTTTCTCGGAGGAAGTCCATTTGCAGTAAGTGCTCTCGCAAGCCTGTTTGTACCACCACCTAACGTGACATATGAATACGAATGCGGGAGTTCGGTGTTTTATGATATGTATGGCCACTGTGTGCACCATTACCTCACCCTGATTGCTGGCTTGACAATTCCTACTACGTTTATTCTGTACGCATCTATTTTCTCATTTGCGTCGAAAAAAGTAAAAGAAAGTGCCACACGTCGAGGAAAGAAAATTAACAGACGAGAAATGAAAGCCACTAAGACAACAGCCATAGTACTTCTGGTTTACACTCTGTGTGTTGCACCAACTGTTCTAAATGGCACTGTCCGAAAAGCTGTTGAAAATGGTTCCACCTGGCTTGTGTGGTACTTGTGGTTATCAGAATTTCTGGTAGTCGCTAACTCGATGGTGAATCCGTTAATATATGCTGGAAGAAATAAAATAATGAGAAAAGAATTCAAAGAAACGTTTTCTTTATTATTTGTAAGATTTATCCGGAGCAGAAATGAAAGCGAAAGAAGCATCTAACATCAGTTGTGTTGACGGATCGGATTCAGAAAGCCAAATCACACGACGACATCCACTAGGCGACAGTAGGTGATATCGTCACTAACAGACTTAGCAGCTAGTTTTACCACGTCGTTTGAAAACACTGGTGATGTTTCAGTTCAGGTATTATAGAAACATTAAATACTATCACACACACACAACCCACCTTTAAGGAATGTGAAGCGCATTGGTCGAAGCTCAACAGGTTCGCACTCCACATTAAAGAGAACTGTTATATATAGATGGTTCAAGGTGTTGGAGCAGCACATTGGCCGAAGATTTACACTGGCAAGCATAATCTCTTTTCTCAGCCAACCGAACTCCTACTTACCCCTTTTTATCCTCAAAAGTGTTAATGTTAATAAAATTATTAAGATTCTTGTAACCATATTTTTTTCATCCGACTCACAGTTTTACAAATTTGGTATCTTTGGACCTAATGATCTGTTAGAAATGTTGGAAATGTTAGCCTACGTTTTTGTACCTAGCAATTCACGAGTAAATGTTAAGTTTATCAATTGTTTATACACAGCGTCATCTTGCATCCCTGATTAACGATGTGTTGGTTAAAGCATATCGTGTACTTATAAACAATTTCGAAATACAAGGGAAATGCACTCTAGCCAGGGGCGGATCCAGGATATGAAAGAGAATAGTTTAAAATGTCCAAAAAAAAACAAAAAACCCCAACATTAAAAGGGGCCCTGGGAACTTCCCCGGGAAAATTTGGATTCCTAGATGGCCGGAAATGAGCTTTCC